ATTTTAAAAGCCTAAGTTTCATCTCGAAACTGAACATATGGGCTCCTCATGTTTTTAAAGAAATTTGTGCCTTAGCGTTGACCTTTGTAGTTTGCATATCAAAAGTCAAGGAAAGGACCAGTTTATGAGGCGCAAAATCACTAGGGATGAGAAATGGGTTGTCTAAAATAAGGTTAATCGCGAAATCGTGGTGTAAGAAGATGAAATAGCTCAAGCCACTTCGAAAGCCGATATACATAAAAAAACGATCTTATTTGTTTGGTAGGATTTCAAAGAAAATGTTTATTTTGAGCTTCCACCGGACGACATAACGATCAATTCTGAAGTGTACTGTCATCAACTGGACAAACTGAATGATTCAGTTAAACCGAACAGGCCAGAATTGATCAATAGAAAAGGTGTAGCGTTTCACCAAGATAATGAGAGACCTCACATAAGTCTGCTAACTCACCAGAAGCTTTTACAGCTTGGATGGGATGTACTACCACACCCACCATATTCGCCAAATCTGGCACCATCTGATTATTGTTTGTTCTCAACTCTACAAAATTTTTACATGGTAAAACCTTTAGCTTATATGATGAGGTCAAAATGACCTGAATCAGTTTTTTGCCAACAAAGAGAAACGATTTTATGAGTGTGGAATCATCCTATTGACAGAAAGATGGAAAAAGGTATCAGAATGGAGAACACACTATTTAATAAAATATTCATGTACTATAAGAAAATCGTTTTCATTTTCATTGAAAAAGAGAAATTACTTACCGGACAACAAGATAGATAACCCATGAGTGCCTCAACCATGCTCGACTCCATCACCTTTGAAAGCACTGGGAGGAGAATCACTGGGCGGTAGTTGGCGGGCTATGACGGGCTACCGCCCTTGAAAATAGGGATAATGACACCTTGCTTTCACACGCTGAGAACCTGCTGTTCATCCAAGCGTCATTGGAAATATAGGGGTTAATTGCTCAGCTATCCTCGTAGCTGCTCCCAGCAGTGCCAACTATCGAACACTGTCCTACCTGCCCCTGGTCTTGAGACAGTCTACTTTACATTCTTATACCGGTGAATAGGTCGATGTACTAGGGATGGGTGAAGTAAGAGTTACTCATGAGGTCAACAGCTGTACCTTTTCCTTATTCTTTGTTAACACTGATGGCCCGAACTTGCTTGGTAGAAACTGGCTCAAACATATGCCGGAATTATTTGAAACTGTCAAAAAATGGACCATCTTGCTGGCACTCTTTCTCTGTTGGGAATGTATGTCTGTGTGCTTGGTGAAGCATCTCCCGGCAAAACTGGGTGATTTCAGTTTCTTCCAATATCAGACCGAAGGCCCCACCGAAATTTTTCCAACATATCCGTCTGAAAATTGAGTTAAAGCTGGAGCGCATCCAAAAGAGAGAATATTATCGCCAATACACTACTCAGCTTGGGCCACACCACTTGGTTCAATACATAAACCCAATGGCAGCATCTGTAGCTGTGGTAAATAAAAACTGACTAGTAACCAAGCGGCGACATTAGAACACTACCGCATTTCGCGGATAGATGACGTATACGCAACTCTGTCAGGTGGCCATAAGTTTTGCAAACTTGATTTCAGTCACCCTTCCTCTCAAGTAGAGCTGCCAGAATCTGCCAGCTTGGCAGTATCTGGTTCCGGATTTGCCTGTTAGTGTGGTCTCTATGGCGACAGCCACAGGACTCCTGCGCCTACGGAAGGACCATAGGTGGCTTGCGCTACACCACCCACAGCTCCAACCACACACCCTATATCCAGTGTAAACCCGAAGGAATAGGACCGGGAGGCATGTGGATGGGAGCCACGTTTCATCAACGGAGCCGGCCCACACCCTTCACAGGCAAGCACTAACACACTATATTTGGAGAATCAAGCGTACACACGGCGGTGGCTGGACCGTAGTCCGTTCCACACTGAATAGAACCACTTTTCGAGTCTAGCACGGCCCCAAGCACTGTGCACGCCGTCCTCCCAAGCAACGATTCAGAGGCTCCTGAAGCTTGTTATTATGGTGGAGGATGTTAGACAGGTACGCACCATGTCAACATGCACAGCAATCGCAGCCACACTGGGTCCAGGGAGGTTAAAAACATCAATGCGAACATGGGTTTGTCCAACTGCAACCGACTTCCATTTGGAATACATTCAGCACCGCCAAAGTTTAAGGGGATTATTGACAAGTTGGTGATAGGAATACCCGGGGTACGCGCTTAGATAGATGCCATTCTAATTTCTGGTCGCAATGACCGCGAGCACATGACGTCGTTTGCGACGGTCTTGCAACGTCTCCAAGACGGTTGACTCAAGCTGAAGGATAATAAATGTGTATTTTTCCTTGAGAATGATCAGTACCTTGGATTTGGTTTAGACAAACACCGTTTGCCCCCGCTAGGGGAAAATCCAACCAATTCTTGATTCTCCGAAACAACGGAACATCAGCGAGCTGCAATCCTTTCTTGGTATGCCAGCACACTATAGTCGCTTCCTACCTGATTTGACTATCACCACCGCGCCACTGTACGCGTTACTTCGAAAAAAAGCCAAATGGATGTGGTCAGCCAAAGAACACAATCCTGTCGATGCTGTCAAGGTAGACATGGATAAGGCTAATCTGCTAGTAGATTTTAATCCGAGAAGGCCCGTTACTCTTCAATGTGACGCCTCAGCATCAGGTCTGGGTGCCTTGTCGTCTCACAAAATGGATGAGCAGACCGAAAGGCTTTTGCATCTAATAGCTTAGCGCCGGCACAGCACTACGCACAACTGCATAATGAGGCGCTGGCAGTCATAGTTGGTGATATTAAATTTGATGGTGGATGTTTGTGAGTAGTGTAAAGTTCGAAGAAAGTAGAAGCCACAATTAAAATTCACGCACAATAATATGCCTCGACGGGGAGTCGAACCCCGGTCCACGAATTTCCGGTCAGCTGCTCTACCACCTGAGCTACCGAGGGCTGACGATTAGGTGCGCAAATTTTAACACATGTCTTCTGCTTGGTGCGCGACGTGTTAATAAATTTCACCATTCTCTCTGGGGAAGGCGTTTCGAAATCCTTACTGATCATAAACTCCTATTAATCTTGACTGGTGAAAGTAAGTACATCAAGCAGATGTCATCTCCACGTATGCAACACTGGACCTTATTAGTATCGGCTTACAAGTGCACAATTTCTTATGTTTCTGAAAAAGCAAACGGCATTGCGGATACTTTGAGTCGATTGCCGTTGAATCATCTGCCCGATGGTGTATTGGAATCAATTAGTTAATTAGTCAATTTAATGCAGCAGCTAGTCAGGAAGCCGGTTTTGAAAGCGGATATCCACCGTGAGTCAGAGCGTGATGTACTTCTCAGCAAAGTTAAACGCTTGCTTTTCCAAGTATGGCCCACTACATGTGAACCGGAATTCTTACCTTACTTCACCAGCCCTATAGAACTCAGCCTCGAGGATGTCTGCCCCTTATGGAGGTCCTGAGCTATTATGGTTGGTTGTCGGCATCCAGTTTCGGATTTGTCTGTCCCTGTTACCATCCACAGGAAGCCTGCGCTGGAATAACTGCACGAAGCTCACCCAGGCATCAGCAGAATGAAAGGGCTCGCGTGGTTTTATTGGTGGTGGCTGGCATTGATATCGACGTAGAGACATTGCTCAGACACTATGAATCATGTCAAAGTACACGATGAAACGTCCCGCCTGCGTCACTGAATCCATGGAACTGGGTCGACAAATCATGGGAGCGCACGCATGCGGATTACCTTGGTCCGCTTGATGGGAATAAGCTTCTCCTTATGGTCGATCTCTAGTCCAAATGGAGTAAGGTATTTCCACTGACACGCCACTTCGGAGACAACTGTTCCTTGAACGAGAACAGGTTTTAGTACATTCAGTGTCCCATAAACGTTAGTGACAGGCAGCGGCTGTGCATTCACCAATCACGGGTTGCAACAGTTCCTTCGAAATAACGGCATCAGACATGTGAACACGGCACCTTCTCACCCAGCCTCAAATGGAGTAGCGCATAGGACAATTCAAACAGTAGAAAGCGGGTTGCAGAAAGAATCACCCGCTCCATTGCGAACGAAGTTGGACAACTTTTTATTAGCTTACCGTTCCACCCCAAGAGAAACAACAGGCATGAGTCCAAGCGACGGATGTACGACCGAAGGTTTAGGACACACCTAGAGTTACACTTTTCTGATCAAAGAGGTGCGACAAGAAAAGCTAAATAGAGGTACGATCAAAGGGTATCAGCTTCATAACCCCGTGAGAACGAGCTGGTTTACGTCCAGGTGCCCCACGAACCGACTTGGCAACCTGCAGTATTACACGAAATTGAAGGCTAGAGAGCGCAGGTTGCACTACGGGACGGCGGGGTCGTTACCCGTCATATGAATCATGTCAGCCGTCGTTCTGATTCAATCAGGCCAGACGACATATTGCTAAACCCGTTAATGGAGCAAGCGGAGGACACACAGAACCCAAACCATCCAGAAGTCCGACAAATATGCCACTCGGCTAGAGTACGCCAACTACCTTATCATGACCAGGCTGTCTGGGGTAGTGCCAACTAAAGGGGGAGGAATGTAGCATGAGTCACTATTGCACGTCAAATGTTCGCACTCAGCAATGATTGTCCTTACATGTGCGCATGGCTGGCTGCCAATTACCCACTCACCAGTGGCTTAGCTTCAGGCACTTGATCGATGCCTTGCGCACGTTCTTGACAGAGTACACGTTGCGTGCTGCCTGCTCCGCTGTACTGTTATCCTTGCATCTCTCGTCTACTAGCCATTAGTGTATCCCCATGCTTGCATTAGTTCCGTACGTGTAGACTTTAACAGATACACAGCACAAATGAGAAACAGAGTAACGGTGACCAAAGAGGTAATGTGTTAATGGCATGCAAAACGTATACAGGCACGAAAAGTACCAAAAGCAACAAAATAGGACGGGGAGCTGTACGAATAACATACCAGGATCTGCAACCTGAGCCTTAGAATTGAACTCTTCATCCGCCAAACGGCTGCAAAGTGCAGAGGGACTAGGCACAGTCTCTTTTGCTACATACGGCATCCCAGTTATGAAGACGACGGGCAAGCGCGGGCGCAGTTGAAGTTCGCAAACCAATTGCCGCATAATAAACAAACTTGGCTCTGTGGATGGCTGCGCCAAATAAAAGCGAACAGATACGGAACATCTTTCACAATTCTGAATTGATTTTCAGTAAGGCGGAGTAGATAATTTCGTGGCATGCCAAAAGATAACTGGCTAAATATTAGTAATATCAGGGTATCCATAAAAGTACGCTCCATCCTTCCATCTGAAATATACTTAGGGAAATGGTAGAAATAATGAAGGGTTTAGTGTGTCAAAATTTTTCTTTAATTACTTATTTAACTAAAACTTATTGGCTTAACGCTACCAGACTGTTGTATCGAGTTTTTGGTAATTTCTGATTCTGCTGCTGAACCTAATTTTTGCTACTTTGTGTAGTACCTGTCTTCTACAATGACTCCAATTTCCATCTTTCTCCGACTAATTTTTTGCATGTGACTAACATTTTGCCATATCATGTTGGTTTTCTTACTACTCAGGAGCCCGGATACAGGGGACAGTTAGGTTCAGAGCCTCAAGTCTGCTCAAGTTAAGTATAAGGATCAGAATAAGGACCCTAGTCCCGAAGGAGAATGAATAAATAGAACCCCGCTGCAGCAGTGATCTGTTTATGTTCGGTTCCTCTTCAGTGCACAATTCCAGCAGACAATATAATGTGATGTCCAGTCTCAACCACGTTCGTCATTTTTGCATGTAATATGCCGAGGCCGTACGGGAAAATGTCGACACATTTCGTGAGCTATGAAACTTCCCGAAAAGAGAGTAACTTCAAGATATACATACATCATTAAAGAGTCCACATTTTCCACTTAAGACAAACAAGATAAACGGTTTTTGGAGATAATCATGCAAACGAAACCACATTTCCACTAAGATAATTGGATGTAAACCCCAAGGGAATCCGATATGGTACGCATAAGCGCTGCAGAGAGGGAAATAGAAGTCCCCAGTAAATTGTAATCATCTACCTTCCACAACCGTATTTTGAAATCCGGCGTCTGAGTCATTTTTTCTAACACGTTCAGTAAAGCTGTTGGTTGAGGGACATCCGAAAGGTTTGTGGCAACATTATCTTATATTTACACATACGCATATGTATAATTGTTACATGCGCACTGGTAGGGCATTACGCCTAGTCAGCCGCATTGATCAGTGCTCCTAAAAGTACAGCCATCAAACAATCGATACACTGTGATCTCTGTCCAACATGGTCTACCGATATCAACACACCTTCGTTCGCAATCTTTTTCTGTTATTTTCGTTATTGTTTTGTGAGAGCGTGAAAATACATCGATGGGAATACTAGCCTTAACTTTTTCGCAACATCCAAAGATGACGAAGCGTTATTTCCGAATCCAACAACTACAAACCTCCTACAAGTTCACACTAAATCCAGGTCCGTGAGAGATGATATCATACAGGTGGCTGAAATGTTGACTTGAAAAAATGTGCCACCCGTTAATTATGCATTGATCAGCGACAGCGAAATATGTGCAGCAAATCGTGCACTATCTTGTGGATCTACAAAATGTATGCGTCTTCATCATCAAGAAACGGACAGCTGATACAGCTGTGCAACACAAATACAGAGGATACACATGGCGCTTTTAGAATTCCGTCCACCACTATCTGCAGACTACTTAGCAGTCAGCACCTTTGTAGCTTGGTTACGTGATTTCCTTTTCAGGCACTCTAGTAATAATGGAATGTATCACCTCTATTTTGCAAAATTCACTTACAACTATGCTCGTTTCCTTCAAAGTGCGATCCAGTGGAAGGTGGCAACCAGAGTTGTTGTCTGGGGTTGCCAAAGAAGATGGACGAATGTCAGACTGCACATCACCTCGGGCACACAGTTGTTCCCATTCCGATTGGTATGCTGGGCCACGGAATCTTAGGGTTTGCGGATCATCTAATGTCAATGAATGTAAATCTTCCTCTGCAACAGGATCTGGTGACGATCTTGTGGAACAACTGTTCCGACTGCTGCTGATTTGGGATAGTTGCCTCGTTTTCGGATGTAAATATTGTGGAAGAGCCCAAATGATAAGCTCCCATAGCACGAGACCGAGAGAATATATATCAGCTTTTTGATGCGATTCCAAGCGGAATGGATTTGCCGAGCTGTTTAGGAGCTGCAAGTAAAGCGTATGGATAAGTCACAAGTCTAATAATAACGACGCAAAAAGCCAGCAATTAGGCGTAATACATAAATGACTAACTTGGAAGTCGTGCACAATGTGCTTACCATTTAAATAAGTACTGAAATTTGGCGCCGTTTCGGTTGGTATTCATGCACATATTGGTACAGAGCCTCTGGAACAGTGATATTTTTCTAATAAAAGAGACTACTTGAGTAACACAGTGTTACCACGAGGGCTGGCATGATGAAATAGCGGAAGCGGTTACAAAGGAGGAGACTCCCTTTCTTGGCTAAACTGTGGCAGGCCACCAGGCTGCAGTTGCGACCACAGAATTGGAATTTCGTCTGGCGTCTCAGTTGCAATGACGCCAAAGACAACTGAGCCGATGTACAACTCCACTTCAAATTGCTCGCATTAGTCTGTTATACCGGCGATGGATAATGACCGTCGAACTTGTATTGGCGTCTTTGTAAAGTTCGAGCTGCTGACAAGCGTGCGTGAGGTCTAAGGTTGAGAGCTATCTTCTGGTACGAAACTGAGCGTAAACGGGATGACGTATTCTTCAGCCGGAATACTCCAGTCGGAAAATTCGGGAGTAAATTAATGAAGAGATTTTATCACTTCGTGTAGGAGATCGGACCAACTGCTTTGACGTCCACAGACGCATACGCCTAACAACAATGAAGAGCAACGAATGTGCCAACCTTCGTTATCAAAGTTGAAAAGTACTGGCGTCCTAAGAACAACCGAAGACTTACAATCGCATCGTGTCCCGTGTGGATGAGTCACGAAGCATTAACCAGATGGAAGTATACTGTTTCAGAAATACGGAGCTAAACTATACAGAAGAGGACGGCGCAATTCCCAGTTCTCAACTAGGTACTTGAGGAAACTGTCTTCGCTGAGTAACATCCAGAAGCATCACTATCACGCAACAATTATTCCATCTTCAACACTGCAGAATGAAAGTAAGCAAATGTGGAAGCATAATGGAATATGCTCCAAGGTAGGCCAAATCGAAATGGGTCGTATGCACTCGAACATGTGAATATTTACCTTTTATGCCAGATGCAACACACCACAGTATAATGCACATATGCTTTCAATCCATTCAATTCAGCGTACGAAAGGAGTCCGAGTAGCCGTGCCTCAATGTGGGGGGCTATGCTAATGACCGAGTGCGGGGGTCGATGGACCACCAAGACAAAATGTTTGTCTATATGTTCCCTAAATTTCGAGAGATGAGTAAATATGAGCGGCAAGGTGCTTCTCCAAAGAAAATTGAATTGTTTGAAACCCATAAATTCCCTCGGGAAAGACGCGTTAATTCGGTCGTTGATATTAAGCATAATAAGTAGACTGCCCTATACTTTTCTGCTTGTCGCTCTATCATTTATAACAATTCGCAGTCTGAATTTGGGTGATTTGACCAACTGAGTCACGTTCCCAACATAACTTGTTCCAGCAAGTGTGATTCGTTCGGCGACAGCTTTACGTGACTCGCGGAAAGGTTTATTGTTCCAAAGTGAACGATGGGGGTGAATGCATTTGAACTCGTGTGAAAAAAACGAGAGGTGGACAATACGAGAGTGAAAAATGAGGGGACCGTGGCGCCGCTGTCACGATCGAAAGAATATGAAGAGCGAAATAACGCGACGTCTCACAAATTCCCTTCCCAGTCTAGGACCGGCCAATCAGAGTTCCCTTGGTGGATGTGTGGGTGACGGTGGTAATGGGTGGTGGGGGCGACAACCAAACAAAGCCGTCACTTGATGGTGACAGTGAATCCGGCGCCGGAAATGCACAAAACAAAGGAACGGAGTAGTCGCAAAGTCATGGGGCGGACTGAAACAGTGGACCAACGTTATCCTAGGAGAGTATGGAGTGTGGGTCAACCGGAGTTAACTTTAAAATTCGGTGATACGAAGAGAAGGATAGTTCGGTTAACCAGGAAATGAACTATGCTAATTCACCCTAAAATTACTGTCATGCTATGGAGTAAAATCCTCCACTGATAAAAAATAATTCATCCACGAATAAGTGAACCGCTTCCAGGTACAAGGATCAAAACGGTAGTGACAAAGTGCACCAGAGTGAATACAGTTCAACGTAGCAACGGGAGATGTAAAGTCACCGGGTTTCAACTACTGCTTCATTAAACAATTAGATAAAACACCAAACAAGTTTAAAACTGCATTCGGACCAACGTCTGAAGGAAGCACCTACGATCATTCAGCCGAACATCGTTGACATGACAGGGTGAGCTACCGTAGGTTATCGAAAGACCTAATGTGGCGAGGAATGGTGCGCACTCGCAGACAATCTCTGGATAATGCTCAATGAAAGAAGACATGAATGCACTTGCCTCTGGTGCCATATACCGTGGAGTACCAGCTTGTAATCCTCCAACTGGCCACCAATCCAGCAGCTCCGCCTTATTCATTCTAAGTTTGGAAGCCGGTCGAAGCTGGACTCCTTCTTTGATTGTATTTGCCGTTAGTTCGTGGTACGTAACGACCTCTGTAGCGTTATTGTGTAGTTCGTGGTGCAATTTTTCATTCTCTGTAAGCAGTTCCGCTGGCTGCGGCGAATGGATTGGGAGAACAGGTTGCGTTGCACTGGTTTGAAGTTGAGCGATATGCTGGCAATAAAGTCTATTTAATTCGCTCATTGAAGATGGCAATGGATTAGGAGGCGCACGGACAGAAAATCCGACATCCCCAATACAACAAGTCCAATCAGAACGAACAAATACATTGGAGGGCTTCAAATCGCGATGCGCCAAGGCAGGTTTTCCTCTGGTTCCGACATAGTCTGCGCGTATAAACAGAGAAAGGCAGACAGTGTTGGGGGCGTATGGTTCAACTCTAAGATGGTAATGACACAACAAATGGCAATCACAGACCACTCTCAACCAAAATTAACGACGAGATAATGACACCCAACTGAACAGCTTAACAAGAAACAAGAAGTTCGCTTTAGAATTCCAAACAGAAAAATCAGAATACGTGCTGTCTCCCTAGCTACAGATGAATCTGTATAGGTAGTGGGACCTGTATTGTGCCAACAGTTCCAAAGAAGCCGATGTGTATCGAGGTACTTTCAAAGGTGACCATGTCGTGAAGGTCATCGAGAAACGGATAGGGGTTTCATTCAAAAGTGCGTGTAATTCAGTAGAACTGCGGCTGATCACATCGACAAGACCTAATCTTTTGTGTTCGATCAAGACGCCGACGAAGAGGCAGTGTAGGTCCCACTGTCTATAAGATTACAGGCAGCTGTGGAGACAGCTACATTGCGCGCCCTAGCCGAAGTCGTGACAGAATCAATGAACACATCCCTAAGTAGTTACGCAGCTAGATGAGGTCTGTGACGGCGGAATCAGCTGGATCGGGAAACCGATCTGCTTCGACAGTCACAAGAACTTACTTACCATCTGGCACTGAGTCAATTGTGATGAGTCGTTCACAGTCTCAATGCACGATCGGTGGCCCCAACTACCTGGGCTATTGGGGACTATCGTAATCGATCACGAACGACCGCGGCTGTGCTTCAATTAACAACTGAGTGTTTTTCTGAGCTTGCCTTGGTAGCGCAAGACCTTCGCTATCTACCATCGCATTTAACATTGTTACCTGTTGTGTAATTGCTAACAATGCACGAACTGGCGAAGTAATCACACAAGATACGTCTTCAGATTTCTCTGTTAGGGGCTATAGTTTCTTAACTAAAATGGTGCGTGCGCAGACCAATTTTATTAATACCATCTGTGTTGCAGTGGTTTGGTCTATCAAAACAACGCATATAGGAAAATTTGGAACCCGATTCTCCTTCTTGGTACGCTGTAGGCATGTATTTCGCTGGGCACCTAACTGAGCCTTGTTTACACCGTAAAAAGATGCTCGCGGAGCACCGTACGCAAACTAGTGCCCGATGGAACGTCATAATAAGGGAACAGCTATGACACTTGTCCTAACCCAGTTTCTGCTGGCTCTATTTTACTTGTGATTTAAGGCATCGAATGAAGGTAGGTTTGTTATTTTCGATTGCACTTTCGGAAACGACACTAATCCTTATTAATTGGAAATCATTTGTGGCCCATCCAGGTGTCTCCTGGTTAATTCAGTGCTTAAAGCAACTATTATACAAGTGTCCTTTAAGGGATGCCGGCAAAGTATTGTAAGAACACGGAAACACAAAGGGCACAACTGTAATGTGTACGCACGACCAAGTCACTGGTTCGCTTGATAACAGCCGTTTATTCACACAAATGAGTCACGTGCATGGCCAGACAGACCGTGGCTCGTGATAACCAATCACAACAGTCTTCCACCGCTAGATTAAGAGTATCCAGCTTGATACTGTTCTACGCTGTGCTATTCACGAGGTGGTCGCCATGACTGTATAGGTTTCTCGGCGTGGCCTTCATCTGGCAAGGCTGCTGGCGCTACTCTGAAGGGTGCACGCGATGGGCAATTTGCTTGTTCCTCCGCAGGACACAGCCTGTCTTCCCACTTGGTCCAAGTGACGTTAAAGTATTCGCAAATCCAATATCGCTTCCACTGCACTACCTCTTGGCGATCTCGTAATCTCTCAGATCCAAGTTCTATTCGTTGGCCTCAATTTAACATATACTCTGTCGCCTGTCTCAAGCACACGATCCTTCGATTCCATGTCGTAACGTTGCTTCATCACAGACTTGCGTTTACCGACCGTTCGATGTAGAATGGATTTAATCAGATCAAGCCGAGTTGGTAGATGTCGTCCCATCAGAAGTTTACACAGTGGATGATCCGTGGTAGTGTGTGGCGCAATGCGATATTGTAATAGGAAGTTGTCAAGGCGGGTTTGTAAACTTCTGGAATGTTGTTTGGCCACACCCAGTTTGATTGTCGCAACCGCTCTCTGCCAAATCATTGGATGAAGGGTGATATGGCGCCGAGAGAACATGCTCGATTCCATTTTGACGTGGGAATTGCTCGAACTCGTCTCTGGTAAATGGCAGGCCGTTATCTGAAACAACCGTACATGGTATACAATGTGTAGCGAATATAGTTGGCGTCATCCGGTTTCGGATTTGCCTGTCATTGTGGTCAGCCACAGGACGTCTGCGCCTACAGAGGGACCATGGGTGGCTTGCGCTGCACCACCCACAGCTCCATCCATACACCCGGTATCCAGTGTAAACCCGAAGGAATAAGACCGGAAGGCATGTGGATAGAAGCCACGTTTCATCAACGGAGCCGGCCCACACTCCTTCAGAGGCAAACACAAACACGCTGTATTTGGGAATCAAGCGCACACAACGCGGTGACTGGACCGTAGTCCGCTCCACACTGAGTGCATGGAATCACACTTCGAGCCTAACACGGCACAAGGACCGTGCACCCCGTCCCCTCCAGCAACGCCCAACTGTCTTCTAGAGTCAGTATGGACGAGGAAGTGGGTAATAAACAGGTAGACACCTGGTCAGGAAGCACATCAAGCGCAGCCACACCGGGGATATCAAGCAACAGCCAATCCATTGAGAGGAAGATAAAAATTAAAATAAATCGAGTAATGCATAAAGAAACGGTGGAATAAATCTTAACTTAATGCGCATATGAAATAAGATTTTTACAGAGAATCCGAGATAAGTTCACGAGGTCAAAACGTATATTTTACGGAAATGCCACAAACACGAATATGATCTCGAAATTAACTACAATTGGCTTAAGCGCCGTGTTCAAGTTTATAGAAGAGAGTACAGGTAGACATTTATATGATAAAGAAAAGCATTAAGGCAAAAGTGAAACCCACCACCTGAAATAAATAGACTTAACATGCAAGCATGCGATTAGTAAATCGAATTCAGCGTACCTACAAACGCTGCGCCGGTTCTGCCTGCGTTCTCTGCAGGACACGTCGTCGCTTCAGTAATGGTCCCGAGTGGCCTCGCTTATGACTCACTAGGCCTGCTTAACTCAGGTACTCACGAGCGCAGGCGCTACAGCACCATGCGCTCGATGTCGATGGAGTACAACCCATCGGTGCTTGCCGCTTCCGCACTTGCCGCTACTCCTCTGCATGCATGATGGCTGTCTGCTGCACCTCAGCAACTGCCTTCGTGATCAGATCGCGCCATGCACGCAGATCAACCGCCTTCGATTCCCATGACCTGCAATCAAGAATGGGACGTGAGAGGCTCACTTTAATCATGTCCTGGTAACATAACTTCGGTTTCCCCACGTGCAGCATCCCAGTACTCAGCTAGCCATATGATAGTTGTTTCGGTATCTGCGTCGAATCCATACGGCTCACGTGACCGAGCCACCTTAGGTGTCTCAGCAAAAGTATGCAGTCCACTGCATACATCCCACTTTGTCGCAACACTTCCGTGTCAGCAACTCTGTCGCCTCAACCGATGCCCAAAATCCGTCGCAAACGCTGCTGATGGAACCGCTCGAATTATCGCACATCCCGCCAGTACATCGTCCACGTTTCACAGCCGTATAGAAGAACGGAGAGCACCATGGATTTGTACACCATCAGCTTCGTGCCAATGGTATGCTGATGGTTGTTCTACACTCGGTACTCTAGCTTCCCGAATGCCGTCGCTGCCTTCGACTCGAGAATACGCACCTCAATGTGTAGCTTCTGATCAGTCGACATCACACTCCCAAGGTAGCGGAAGCGGGAGGTGGCTTCCAATACTTCGTCACCAATGCTGATTCACGGCAATATTGAAGATTGCACCTCAGCAGAAGGCTGAAAGAGACAGACAGTTTTGCTTGTGTTGGTGGTGAGCCCGAATTTTGTCGCAGTCGAAGCCAGAGAACTAGTCATGTGCTGCAACTCATCCGCGCTGGGTGAAAACAACGCACAGTCGTCAGCAAACAGCAACATACGGAGAGTTGTCTCACTGACTAGAATTCTTGCACAGAAACGACGGATGTTCAGCAACCCACCATCAATACGGTGCTTCACAAAAACAACGTAAGCACAAGCCGCATCAAAAGCACAAGACAACACTGCATGATATATATTAAACAGGGCAGGAGCTAAGACACAGCCTTGCTTCACACCAGTGGCCACTACAGAGTCATCCAAGGTCTCGCCACTCAGCTGCACTCTCGTCCGCATACCATCGTGCAGACATTCAATTAAACTTCAAGACGTACTCGGGCAACCAAACTTACCCAACACCAGCCACAATGCCTCGCGGTTCATTGAATCAAATGCCTTGGTGAAATCAACAAAAAGCGAGTACAATGGCTGGGGTCGTTCTCTGCACTTCTCTTGCAACTGACGAGCCGCAAACACCATATCTATAGTGCTGCGACCCGAACGGAATCCACATTGCTCTTCCGCCACGGTTGGTTCCACAACCTGACTCACGAGGCGATTGAGCAGGATTCGGGCAATCACCTTGCCCACACAACTCAGCAAGTTGATGCCACGATAATTCGTGCAACATTGCTTGCTCCCTTCGCCCTTGTACAGTGGTAGCACAAGGGCATCCTTCAGCTCAGCAGGCATCTCCTCCTCAATCTACACGCGTTGCACCAAGTGGTGCAGCGCAGTCAACAACGCGGGTCCACCGTGTTTCAATACTTCAGGTGGGATCCCGTCACCTCCGGCACATTTGCCGTTTCGCAGCTGAGCAAGTGCTCTCTGCGTCTCATCCAGTGTCGGCGTGTCCGCCAGACTCGCCTTCACATCGTGCTGCTTCAGGCCGTTCAATGTAGGCCAGTCGATCTCTGAACGGTTGTTCAAGATAAAGTCAAAGTGTTTCCGCCAGACCTGCATTATGTCTGCAGTCTGGGTGCAGGTAG